TAAGAAGATTGATTAACAATCTGATCATCTTGCCTAATGCAGCAAGTGGGTACCTTGGAAACTCGCAACGCCATGGGGGCTGCTCTGTCAGTCCAGATCTTAAGGTTCATTTTCTGAAGACGCCATTAGCGTTAACATGTACACCAGGGGTTGAATTCAAACTTCTGTACTCTGGCAGAAATTGATTTGTTTCTGTCTGATTTTGTAACCAATGCAAACTTGTAGTCCAGAAACAGAAACGTTGCTAAGGAAACAACACTTTTTGCTCAACAACTTTGGTTTGATTAAAACTTGGCTTTGCTGATGCAAAAACTAAGCATTGAAAGTATTTTTCTTGACATCTTTGGACAAAAAGTTGTAAAACTTAGAACGGTAGGTTTTCAGCTGAATTTGCGTACCCTTTCAAAACCCTATTTACACGGTAGTTTATGAAATTTAAACTTCTGTTGAGATAAGGATGAATCACACAGATAACAAACCTGAGAGTATGATTGGAAACTAGAAGTCTGACTTGGTCTAACATCCCCCGGCAAGCTGACAGATGGTAGCTCACCTCTAATCACCTTCTCCCTGACATAATGATAATCAACTTCTAAGTGCTTGGTTCTTGAGTGGAAAACTGGATTGGATGCTAAGGCAATGGAAGACAAATTATCACACCAAATCTGTTATCTTAGGAGATTCTAATGTACGTCCCTAAACAACGAACATAACCAAGGCAACTCAGCGGCAGTGTATGCAAGCTGCCGATATTCAGCTTCAGTGCTAGACCTGGAAACTGTTTTCTGTTTCTTCGAACTCCACGAGACTAAGTTTTTACCCAAGCATATACAGAAGCCTCAGTTTATCATCCACATAGATTAGTAAGATGAGATAAAATAAGGGCAATGAGGGAAAACGTTCAACACAGGAAAAGACCAAAATCTAAGAATGAAGTAACCTAAAATTGCCATAAATTACAAAGAAAAGTAGGGTATAACACTAAAGAGCTACATTAGATATGTTATATAAATTTTGGATGGATCAGGCATTCTCTGTATCCTTAAATACTTTTATATTGCCATTCACAATATGCAAAAATTAAGGCAAGGCAAACTATGGATTGACAATTCGTGGTTTTATATTGCCATTCACAATATGAACAGCTAGTACCATGCAAAGTTCCGTCCCCACCCCCCCTGAGGTCCATTGGACCTATAGCTACACCAAGGGCGCAACCGTATCCCCATATACATGATAAACTTGGCTAAAGAATGTCGTTTTATATTTAAAGGTTGCACACACTCGCCCTAACTGATGCCTGACCTCGTTAGCAGTAGGCCATTTGTTATCACTAATCTCCAAAGTCAATTCAAAACAGCCACCATTTTTGTAGTTCCAATCTTGCATGCCTCCATATATAGGGTACCTACAACAGGTGTCTTAAGAAACAATATATGAATATCAACAGAAGGAAAATATACCTATAATAAGTTGTAATGTTTCAAGCCATCATACCAGAAAGCTCGATTCGTAATCCCTCCCTCAAATTCCTTGCGCAATGACATATTGTGGTGAGAGTGACTATATACACTTGGTAAGAACCGGAATGTCTCGTCGTCTGGACATGCAAATAATCTTTCCTGTAATTTAATTTCGATCAAAAGACAAGAGCATATGTGCAAAATAAAAATGAATAAGCGTTGGCATAAATTCTGGGATAATTGTTAGGCACCATCCGAAAATCCATAATCATATTAGAAGTAATTGGCAATGTTCATAACATTAGAGTAACACTTTAAGACCTACTATTGACATCACCATGCTTGTTTCACACTATAACAGAAACATTTAGAAACCTGAACACATTGGGCATCATAGGTAAAATTGAATAATGATCAAAACGTACACTCACACTGAAGCCAACGTACAGCCGGAAGAAGTCTAATGGAAATGAATGAAATTATTCTGGACAAATGTTCAACAAACAAATCGTTTGCTTTTTCCATGAATGAAAGTAAGACCCTAGTATCAAGCTATCAATCAGCATGGTTCAGTGCAGAACTTTTATGGATAATTTGCAAAAAGGGCAACCTGTGAACAACAAAAGAATTGGTAATAACTAATTTCTCCGCATCCGAATCAAGGAATCCATTAGCATTAAAACCTATGAACACTATGTATCTTTTGAGTTAAACAATTTGGATGAGCGAAAAAAATGAATGTGGATGAATCAATTTACAAAAACCTTTCTTCCTAATGCAATCGCTCTTTGCTTGGTAAGTACTAAATACTACTATATTTTAATTTACTTCCGCTTCTTGTAATCTCAGTTTTTCAACTTCCAAAAACAACCAAGAAACTAAATGAACACATAATATAAAATGCATACTAATATACATATATATATATATATAGCACAGATGAGAAGATGGGGACCTGGAGGGTAGGAAGTATGAAGGCCGCCTCTAGCAGTAGCAGGACGAAGAAAAGAGGACAGGTTGAGAGAAAGGAAGAGGATGGAAAGAGCAAGCTCCATTCTGGGATCTTTGAGGTTGACTATGGAGACGATGGAGCTGGATTCAGGAAGCCATTGTTGGAACTCGGAAGGAGTTAAGGAAGATGAAAACGTAACGACGAAGATCGGAGATGCTGGATCGCCGGAAAATGGGCTGCAATTTCCAATCGGAACAAAGAAACGGGGACTTCGTGGTATGGGTTGCAAATGGATCTCAGCCCATTTGTTAAACAACTTTTGTTTGGGCCTAAATAAGCCTACAAACCTAACCGGATGAACCGTTCGAACCGCCCGAACCAAACTAAATTAAATCGGTTGATTTTTTTTTTTATATACAACAATATTTTACATTATAGGGTTTGAATTAAATTGAGTAGAAATGTCACTAACTATATTAGTAGTGAAAAATTTGATTTTGGAAGTAGTTGTCTATTTCAGAGTGGATTTACCAGATGCCAAATGTAATTTATATAAATTTTCTCCTGTATTTACTAATCTGCAAGAAATTGAAAAAATAATTTTTCGTTTAAAATACCTAAAAATTAGGAAGCATATCAAGTAGGGGGCCATTTGATCTGGTTCTCTTTTCTTACTTTTCATATTTCTAAGTTATTTCATTCCTTGTCATTCAGTACTACGGTCTGGTGGTATTCCTCTTTACTTGGAAGTGAGAGGTCTTAGGTTCGAATCTCGTGGATGGCGAATCGAATTCCATACCAAATTAGGTTACCCATTGTGTTTAGTTGAACTCCCCCTCTCCTTAGTGTAAAAATTTATCGATGTCCTCAAAAAGTTATTTCATTCCTTTATTTTCTCATTTAAGATAAGTAAACATTGAATTAAGAGTTATATGGATCCAATATTGCAAATCATGTTTATGAACGAGTCTTGGTAGGAGTCACAACTTAATCATGAGTGAAATCGTCACATGTGTAGTTCCAATGTTTTCATGCATAAGCTCACCGAAGGGTCTATTTCGTTTTCTCGGTTGGTCCAACTAGGTATGAAAGTACTCCGAAGGTAAAGTAAGGCTCAAGGAATACATCGTGTTCACAACATTATAACAATAATCAGGAAATACAATGGAGGTGTTTAGGTGAGAGCCTTGTGGTGCAGTGAACATCAATTTTGGTCATGAGGACTAGAGGCAATGTTGACCAACTTCTTATGTCGAGTTTCAGGGGATAAAAATCAAGTTTGCAAGGGGCAAAATAGAGCAAACTATGAATCTAAGGGAGTGAGGTGGCGATTTTTGAGTTACAAGGAGTAAAATGAGATTAAAATCGAAGGTGTAGATAAAAATAAGCTCATTTGTTTACTTTCTTGGTTTAATCATGTAATTTAAAGATTATTTGGTTATTATCCAAATTTCCAAATAAATGTTGGAAGGCAAACAAACTAGTCGAGAGGTAATATTGCAGAAGTGCCGATTCACTTGGAAGAATGGAACATGAACATATAGGATAAATAGACGGGAATGGCATGAATTAGATTTTTTGAGGAACATATCGAGAGAGAATTGGTTAAACAATGTGTGGTTGTTAAACAAGGATCATCATTATGCATTGTCTTTGTGAATCGTGCTGAGAACAAGTCAATCCTATCAAGTTTCTGTACACAGAAGGGTACTTGAATCATGCTCTTGATGATTCAATATGTCATCAAATGGTTTGGATTACAATTGTTTATGAAGAAATTGGGATTCCACCATAAAATCAATTGGCTATATAGAGAGTAGCCTAACTACTTATTAGTTCATGCAAGGTTCTTCCTCCCATCAACGTATGACTCATTCTCAACACGCCCCTTTACGTGTGACGAATTTTCAAATCTAACACGTGGATAACACAACGGGATGACATTGAGCGCATGTGACCGTTTGACTTCATACGTGGAACAACTTGCTCTAATACTATGAAGAAATTAAGGTTCCACCATAAAACTAATTGACTATATATGGAGTAGTTCAACTACTTATAAGTCCATGAAAAGTTCTTTCTTCCATCAATATAGGACTCATTCTCAACATACTAGGTATGGTACAGATTTCGTACCAAAATCTAAAACCCTTATCAATTGCATCTGACTGGGAACAAATTTGGTGAGCCATTGAGTCAAGGCTACACTAAATTAGAGAGTTTTCGACCCTTTCCCTGACATAATGATAATCAACTTCTAAGTGCTTGGTTCTTTAACATTTGTTCAAAAGTGCTTTGTTCTTGAGTGGAAAACTAGATGGGATGCTAAGACAATGGAGGACACATTATCACACCAAATCTGTGGTCTTAAAAGATTCAAATGTACGTCCTTGAACAACGAACGTAACCAAGACAACTCAGCAGCAGTGTACGCACACTGCCTATATTCAGCTTCGGTGCTAAGCCTGGAAACCGTTTTCTGTTTCTTCGAACTCCACAATATTAAGTTTTTACCCAAGTATACACAGAAGCCTCCAGTTGAATGGCGTGTGTCTAGGTTTCCTGCACGATCTGCACCGGAGAAAGCAGTCAATTGTACACTTCCAGGTCTATAAACAAGACCCTATAAATAGGTAGCCTACAAATAACGTAGGATCCTTTTAACTGTCATCCAATGCGTGTTGTTGGCGAATGCATGAATTGACACACTTGGTTCACAACATAAGAAAGATCAGGTCTCGTAATGGTCAAATAATGTAGGGCACCTACAACACTTCGGTATAATTCAGGATTAGTATATGATTCATCCCCAAAAGCACTCTGTTTTTGTCCAGAAGAAACTGGAGTCGAGATTGGCTTGGCATTGGTAAATTTAGTACGTTCCAGCAAGTCCAGGACATTTGGACTGTGTGAGATGCATTTGATCACCATAGCAAGTTCCTTCAACACCTAGGAAGTAGTTGAGAGGAACCAAGTCCTTCATGGAAAATAAAGTGCCCAATCTCTTTATCAACCGAGCCATTTGATAAGTGTTGTTTCCTATGAGCAATATAGCATCCACATAGATTAGTAAGATAAGATATACTCCTCTTTGATTAAACACAAACAAAGAATAATCACACTCAGATTCTTAAAATCCCAATTGAAGCAAGAAATCAGAAAATCTCTAAAACCAAGCTCTCGACACTTGTTTTAACCCACATAAACTGCGCTCCAACTTGCAAACATGGTGTAGGTACTCTTGTCAATGAAACCCGCTGGTTGTTTCATATAAACTTCCTCAGTGAGATAACCATGTAAGAAAGCATTCTGGACGTCCAACTGTCTTACATGCCCCTTCTTTGACACTGCCAAACTAAGAACAAGCCAAATGGCACAGGACTAAAAGTCTCATTGCAACCAATCCCTGGTTTTTGATGAAAACCATTGGCCATAAACCCACCTTTTGTCTCCCGATCGAACCATCTTGCGTTTCGCAAGTGAATTGAGTTCGAGCTAGATTGCTTGATTTTAGGTTGACCAACTAAACATGGTTCATTGTCATCGCTTAGCATGATATAAGTAGCTACTGTGTTCGAAGACTAGAAACTGGAAGGCTAATTGTTACTTTCTGGGGATTTTAGTGTTTGTTTAAAGCTGATTTGTTGTTTTTTTTAATATGTTTCAGTGTTAGAGAAAGCTGATTGAGGGACCATGGCAACAATAAGAATAGAGTGCCCTGTTTTGGAGCCAAGCTCCGGTAATTCTTATCATCTTTACTTGCTACTACTCCATAATTAGTCTGGTAGTATTATCATGAAATCCAATTTTATTTATTGTGTTTTGGTGATCTTATTCCATTTTTATGTTAATGTAATCTCTCATAAAGCTAACTCCACATCTTAGTCTCTCTTTTGGTTTTGGTACTCTCATTCTCTAAAGCTCTGTTAGTTGAGTTGTGAAATAAGTTTGGGGCTTTTACATAAACTGCAGTCTTAATAAATTTTGTTGTTACAGATCACAGAGAAGTTGATAGCATATGAGTTCTTAGTTGAAGTTGCAGAAGGGTTGCAGTGAATTTGTTGAGATTTTTGTATGGTTAATAATGACTGCAAACCTGTTGAAAATCTACATCTCCCAGGTATTTATTTGATCATATCATTGCTGTCATCAACTCTAAATACCTTAATAGTAGAACCTGAGTTAACATTATTCTTATGAAATTTGTGTGTTTGATTTTTGGGTGCAGCTGATGATCAGATTCAAATGATTGAGATGATTAAGCTCTTGGAAACAAGGGGTTCAAACAATTTTCAATGATATTACAATTTGTTTCCTCACCCAAAAAAAAAAAAATGATATTACAATTTGAATCCTAGAACACCATTAAGTAGCGTCAGCTGTATGAACCCTACAACGACAACCAAGTCTTTACACATCACAATCCAAGTGTAGAAAATTCACAAATGACTAAGCAAGTAGAGGAAAACTTCCAGAAGTGTCTAAAAGTAGTTTTCTTCTTTATTTGCAAAGCAGATATGTCGAAACAGGAACAAATAGATGAAGATAAGAGCAATGAGGGAAAACATTCAACAAGGGACAAGACAAAAATGCTAGAATGAAGTAACTTAAAATTGCCATAAATTACAAAGCAAAGTAGGGTATAACACTAAAGAGTTACAGAACAATCATTAGACGTACACCTACAATAAAAGGAAAGAAAAATACCAGACGATCTTTCAAATAGTTGTCACATATCCAATGCAAGTAGAATTAGAAGCTCACGGCCTACAGGTTCATCTCCATGCACATTTCCAATGTACTGCGGCACCCAGCATATTCATCAAAAAATGCTCAAACTATCACTTGAAATTGCATGAACGAGTAACAATCGATTTACATTCTGGGGAATGGAAAAGGAACAAAAGAAAGTTTTCAAGAAGCACACAGAATACAAAAGTACTACACTGTCAATGTATGCAAACACTAAATAAATTGAAATCCGGGTAGTATGCAAAACTTTTTCGACAAAAAGTGAAATCCATGACCTCAGTTTTCAACAGTAAACGGGAAATATGGCAGGTGGAAAATGAAAGACTAACAATAAATCAAAATATTAATAATATATTACTAGTTGCAGTGGAATTCAGAAACAATGAACTTTTTAAGGAAGAAGAAGAGGGAAATGAAAATATCCAATTGCACGTGATTTTTTGGCGTGTACTTATAAATTATAATCTTTGTCATATTACAGCTTCTCAGTTTCATCATAAGTTTCTTGTGGTCATAAGTAGCTCGTAGCAGTTTCCTTTATTTCTTTCCATACAAGATCATAGAAAAAGTAACAAAAAAATGGTGACTAAAACTGCCCTCAAGACACATACAATTGATAGAGTCTGTCCTTTCTGAGGGACAAGTAACATAATTGAACTAGCGGAATGAATAAAACTTTTCTAAAGAGTGCAGATGGATATTCTCCAATACCAGAATCAACTCAATTCGGTGGTAAACAATTATTGCACCTTTCTGGATTCAAGGGTGCAATAAGCTAGAAGCTATATCGCACTTTTTTAACTTCCACTAATAAGCAATCAATGTAATTAAATTTCTGACCCTTATTCAGCGTTATTGTTGCAAAAAGATTTCAGGTACTGGTGATTTGACGCATTATTACACAGCTCTATGGTTAATTTCAGTTTCAAGCAGCTGCAAGGACTAATTTGTTTTCTGCTAATCTTGAAGGAATCAAAGCAGGTTCCTGTTCTTTTGAATCATAACTTTTTCTGGGTTATGGAACAAATATAATTTCTACGTTATTATTATTTACAGAAGGGAAGGGGGGACGCTAACGCATTTTCCTTCAAAAATCCTGCCAAGTTCCAAAAAATTGATTGTATATAGGAAGGATTAAAATGCCAGGATTCAAAAGTTTTTACCAAATGGCAGCTTCAGGCTCTTCCACCCCGGGCGTAGCAGAAATTGCTACTACCCACTACAAGCAATAATACATCAAACATTACCAACTTCATAAGATGTGAGTCAAGATGTTATTATAATAAATAAAACTAAAGCGATCAAAAACAAAGAGGAAACTTCAGTGAAACGATTACCAGCAGAACCCTATTCACACTCTTCCCAAAACTGATAATCCATTTGAAAAATCCCTCAACAGGAGAATAAAAAGAATAAATCAGCATAATCATCATGAGATGCCTAAACAAAAATCCTACAATTAAACTCCTGTATTTATCCAGCTAAAACTACTACTAACAAATACAATTGTTTTATTTCTACTAACAAGTGGTAAAATTATAATCTGGCAAATGTTAAAAATGCACAAGCCCAAGTAATCACCTGTAAGCCGTAGAAATGTTACTGCATCTTTGGCCGAACGCCTTAATGGCCTGTCCCAGGTCAGAGTTAGTCATGTACCCTTGAGCTACATCAACCTTGTGTCACCATTTTTTTCACATTTTTAGTAAACACATAATTATATCAAATTAGACTATATAATTCTTGTTGAGCTACTAAGCTTCAACTTTAGTGATAAATACCGCGTCTGAGACTCCTTATCTTCAAACAATTGCCTGCCGGAACCAGCGCGAGGACCAAATTCGAAACCTATCAACATTTAATTTACAATTAGCTAAATTCTTAATGCTTAAAGATTTAGTTTCCTTTCCTAGTAGCGCTAATCCACCTAAAATGTAAAGAATTTAAGGAAGCAATAGGCATGATAATCCATCTGATCATAATTAACTACCGTTTGGTACCTGAAATATCAAAGGAAAATTTTTCAATTTACTTCATGTTCTTGTAATCTCAGTTTTTCAACTCCCAAAGAACTAAATGCACACACATGAATATAGAATCCATACAAATATGTATGTGTGTGTGTGTGTGTGTGTGTACATGACAGATGAGGAGATGGGGACCTGGAGGTGTCTAACGTTGATCTTCAAAAAAGACTTCTTTTCCCGGTGTTGAGGGAAAAGATTGAAGAAATTTGGGATGGAGAGCACGGAATCATTTTCATTAAGAAGTGCTTACACAACAAAAAGGTTCTTCTTGTACTTGATGATGTGGATCACATAAACCAACTACAAGTACTAGCTGGAAAGGAAGATTGGTTTGGCATGGGAAGCAGAATTATCATTACAACTAGAAATGAACGTCTGCTAGTCGAGCATGGCATAACATTATATCATAATGTTGAGGTGTTAAATGATGATGAAGCTCTTGCACTGTTTAGCCTGCATGCCTTTAAGAAAAATATGCCCGAGGATGGGTTTTTGGAACTGTCCGAGTGTTTCATTAAATATGCTGGAGGCCTTCCATTAGCTCTTAAAACTTTTGGGTCGGCATTGTTTAAGAGAGGGCTAGATTTTTGGAATAGTAAACGGGATAATCTGTCAAAAATTCCTAATACAGAAATTATTCATAAACTTAAAATAAGTTATGATGAACTAGAAGAGATGGAGAAGAGCATTTTTCTTGACGTTGCATATCTCCACAAAGGGAAGTACAGAATGGAAGTAATTGAAATACTAGATATTTCTTTTGGAATTTCTAGTAGTACTATGATAGATGTACTAATTGAGAGATCTCTCCTCTATCACGATTGCAACAAATATATATGGATGCATGACTTGATACAAGATATGGCACGTGAAATTGTTCGTCAAGAGTCTAAAGAGCCTGGTCAGCGCAGTAGGTTGTGGCTTTACGATGACATCGATCAGATATTTAGGAAGAATAAGGTAAGAAGTTAAATACCAAGTTTGGAAGAAGATATTGATTTCTTTTGACATTATATTAGACTTGAATGTGAAATTAATTTGTCCTTTTTTTCTTAATTGTTAGGGAACGGCAGCAATTGAAGCCATATCCTTACGCTTGTCCAACGTAGAAGAGGTGCCCCAGTGGAATTGCGAAGCCTTCTCTAAGATGGAGAGACTGAGGTTTTTGGAATTCAATAATTTGATCTTTTCTTCAGGCCCCAAATCTCTTCCATGTTCCTTGAGAATTATAAATTGGAGTTGGTATCCTTCTAATTTTCTTCCAACAAGCTTTCACCCGCACTTTCTTGGTAAACTTGAGATGCGTAATAGCAATCTTGTTCGTTTTTTGGGGGGAAAAGTGGTAAGAGTGGTTATGAACAAAAGATAATATTGGTTACTCACTAGTCAATACTCACATTTTGAGTTTGTCCAATGATATTTTAACACATTATTTTAAAAAATAATAGACATGTTATTTAATTTTTCTTGAGTTTTAAAAACAAGGAACCCTTGACATTTTTTTATTGTACAATCCCAAAGGTTCCAAATTTATTCCATATTCATTGAGAATAAATGCTATTTAATTTACAAAATAATCATATATTTATTTATTTATTATTTTGAATAAACTTTAAGGTTGTGGAAACTAAGTATATGATCTGAACCTTATCGGTGGTGTTGTACAGGACTTGCCCAACTTGAAACATATCGATCTTAGCAACTCCAATAAATTGAAGAGTACCCTAGATTTCAATGGTCTTCCGAATCTTGAGGAGTTGTATCTTTCCGCTTGTATGAATTTAGTTGAGATACATCCATCTATTGCAGTCCTCAAAAGACTTAAAGTTTTGCACCTTTGTGACTGTGAAAGCATTAAGAGCCTCCCAAGTAAGGTTGAAATGGATTCTCTTGTAGATTTCAATCTTGGTGGCTGCTCAAATGTGAAAACGATTCCAGAATTTGGGGAGCAGATGAAGAATTTATCGTCGCTCACGTTAGACAACACTGCGATCGAGAAAATACCTTCATCAATTGGACATGTGGTTGACCTTTGGCGTTTTAGTCTACGGGAATGCAAAAATCTCTTGTACCTTCCAAGGGCTATTTGTAATTTGAAGTCTCTTAAATGGCTCGATGTGGGTAGATGCTCAAAGATTGACAAACTTCCAGAAGACATGGATCACTTATCTTGGCTTATAGTGGGACCCACTATGACAAAGCCGTTTGTGGGTATGAAAAATCTCAAAGTTCTAATATTTGAAGCCACTACCAATTGTTTAGAATTCATGGCCATTCGAAACGATTTAAGGCCAATAGGAATTCATGCCTTGAATATATGCATCACGTGGCTTTCACGTGGAGCTAAACAGCCAATCAACTAGCTTGAGTCAAAGTTAGCCCAAGATCCTGTCCGGATTTTTTGTAAATTCCATCCGTTTATTGTATGTATGCGATCAGATTTTGTCAGGTAATATTTATGTTTAATTTTAAATAAAAATTATTTAAAATAATTTATGACCACACGATATACAATAAATAAACATGATTTACGAATCCTAAATCCTCACAAAAAAATCCAATCCGAATTCAAAGTTAGCGGCCTAAATAAGGGGTGTGATATCCACACACCCCTTTTAACTTCTCACAAACTTCTTATTAATTTCTGTTTTTAGATATTTTTCAATTCATTCAATCCAACAGTTAAAAATAAAAAAATATATGTGACAAGTAAAAATAATGTGTGAATAGCACATCCCACTAAATAATCTTGGCTGCTTGATGCCTTGAACAAGTCAATCACGCGGCTTTAGAGCAACTCCAGCCCGCACACCTTGGACTGGCACCAAGTGAAGAAAATGGACTGGCACCACATTTTTCTGCTCCAGCCCGCACATTTGACTGGCACCCAGCCCGTGCCAGTCTGTTGCCCAGCCCAAAATGGACAGACCCAGAAGCCGGCCTGTTTGATGGCGCGTGCAACACACGCGGCTGCCCAGGCGAGTAGCCGACAAGAAGACAGGCGCTGGGGCCCGCGTGCAGACCCACTTGCGGTCGCCCGGGTGAAGGAAACGTGGCCTCGTCAGAGCCGTTGGATTTCCAACGGCTAGTTTTTTAGGCCGTTGGATTTCCAACGGTAAAAAAAATTTAAATTTCAATTTTAAATTGGACCGTCCGATCACAGATCAACGGTCCACGTTTATTTCACCAAAAATTAAAAAAAAAAAAAAAAAAGGCCCAACGGTCAGAAATTTGACCGTTGGCCACGTGGCGTAATGAGTGCTGTTGGATTTGATTATTTTTCAAATCCAACGGTCCCGATTAATTACAACATTAAAATTTATTAAAAAATAATAAAAAAATGTCAAAAATTTTTAAAAAAATACAGAAAAATTTTAAAAAATACATTTTTTTTTTCTATAAATACCTAACCCTCATCTTCCACCTTACACCACATTTCAATATTTTCTACACTTTCTACACTTTCTACATTTGAATATTTTGTACACTTTGAGAGAAAAAAATGACTTCGTGGAAGCTCAGTGAAGATGTTACGTTGTGTGAATGTTGGGTTCGCACTACTCATGACCCGATTACGGGTAATGAGATGGATAAGCGAGAAATGTGGAGTAAAATTACGAAATCGTTCAACGATGTACATGGAAAAGATGTACATGGAAAAGATGCCAGATCTAGTCAAGGTCTTCAAGGTCGTTGGAAAAAACTCAACGCATCCTTTACTTGTTGGAAAAACGCCCTCTCTCATGCTTCTGGTAATTTGCGTAGTGGGACAAGTTTAGCGGATGAGGTAACAATATTTTTATTTATTTATATGCATTCCACCCACATCAATATTTTAATTTATTTAATTTCTTATGTAATTTTTATGTAATATGCATTCCAAATACTTATGTAATTTTTATGCATTCCACAATTCTTATTTAATTTCTTATGTAATTTTTATGTAATATGCATTCCAAATATTTATGTAATTTTTATGTAATTTTTATGCATTCCACAATTCTTATTTAATTTCTTATGTAATTTTTATGTAATATGCATTCCAAATACTTATGTAATTTTTATGTAATTTTTATATAATTTTTATGCATTCCACAATTCTTATGTAATTTTTATGTAATTTTTATAGACACTACAAGCACAAGCATTCTACAATGCAAAGAACCATAACAAATCATTCAACAAATGGGAATGTTGGCAAATTGTCAAAGATTGCCCTAGATACAAAATTGTGGCAACCGGTCCAGAAGTTGTCATGCACGGTATGGGTCTACACAATTCGCCAGAAGCAGACACAGCCGAACAAGAAGCCAACACATTTGAAGACACGGAAGGGATGCCTGAACAAGTGCCAGAGACCCAACCGACTCGTCAGTCCCTCAGGCCTCAAGGTAAAAAGGCATCAAAGAAAAAAGGTAGTTCTTCCAAAAATGACTACACTAAATATATGGAGGAACTTACTCGTCAAGGTGAAATGAACATGGCATGGGAAAAGGCTAGAGATGAGGAAAAAGTTGCTGCTGTGGCAGCAATTATTGCAGCTACTGAGGCTCGTGATGCGGCGGCTGAGAGACAAAGAGAAATAGTTAATCGAGAGAACGAGATGATTAGAGAAGCACTTCATCGAGAGAATGAGATGCTTAGAGAAGAAAGGATGGCTCAAACAGATCGTGACACTATGAACAAGTCTCTAGTAGGACTGTCTCCGAATTCAAAATATTTTTGGACATCAGAAAAAAGAGATGTCGTGCGAAGGAGGCGTGCAAGAGATGCCGAAACAAGTCAAGGGGGTTCCAGCTACAGAAATCCTAGCAACCAAGATCCTAGCACCACATATCCTAACTCCACAGACTTTATTTAATTTCTTATGTAATTTCTTATTTATTTTTAGAACTTTATTTAATTTCTTATGTAATTTCTTATTTATTTTTAGAACTTTATTTAATTTCTTATGTAATTTCTTATTTATTTTTAGAACTTTATTTAATTTCTTATGTAATTTCTTATTTATTTTTAGAACTTTATTTAATTTCTTATGTAATTTCTTATTTATTTTTAGAACTTTATTTAATTTCTTATGTAATTTCTTATTTATTTTTAGAACTTTATTTAATTTGTTATGTAATTTCTTATTTACTTTTAGAACTTTATTTAATTTAAAATTAAAATTACATAACCTCACCATTTAAACTTAAAAAAAAACCATTTAAACTTAAAACACCAAATAAAATTACATAAAACACCATTTAAACTTAAAACACCATTTAAACTTAAAATTACATAACCTCACCATTTAAACTTAAAAAAAAAAAAAGCAAACACACTAAATAAGATTACTTAAAAAAACAATACACTTTATTCTTCAACCACAAGCCTTATTTTAATTATCTTCGCCTTCGTGCAAGCTCCACTGATGCTCAATCAAGTCATTCTGGCGGGATATGTGCCAGTATGGCTCTTGCAATGAAGTGTATCGTTGAACGATCAATTCATTGTAACGTCCATCCCGTTCCAACGGCTCGTGTTGCACGGGATCTTCGGTCCGGTCATGAGCATAGTAGATTTGTGTTCTTGAGTTGTTCATCGGATCCGGCTCGTATTCATCGACGGCATCATAATCATACTCGTCTTCAACAATCATGTTGTGGAGAATAATACACGTCATCATGATGGATCGAAGAGCCTCGACATCAAACATTCTAGCTGCAGCCCTGACAATGGCCCAACGAGCTTGCAGGATACCAAAACAACGCTCGACATCCTTCCTACACCCTTCTTGACACTTTGCGAAGTGTTTCTCTTTTTCACTCTGCGGGTGTGGCACTGTTTTGACAAATGTTGACCACCTTGGGTAAATACCATCTGCAAGGTAGTATGGTCCCTCGTATTTAGTACCATTAACCCAATATGTGCATCTCGGCCCACGCCCTTGTAGCAGTTCGTCAAACACTGGAGATTGGGCAAGGACATTTAGGTCATTCTGAGCTCCTGGAACACCAAAAAAAGCATGCCAAATCCATGTATCAAAAGAAGCCACCGCTTCCAGAATGATGCTTTTGGCTCCTTTTCTGTCGCCATAAGCTCCTTGCCACGCACTTGGACAGTTTTTCCATGTCCAGTGCATGCAGTCGATGCTTCCAATCATGCCAGGGAAGCCTCGCATCTCAGCCTTCCTAAGAAGCCTTCGCATGTCCCTTGGCGTGGGTTGCCGAAGGTACTCATTGGTGTAGAGGGCTTCAATTGCAGAGCAAAACCGCATCAGGGACTCCAGAACTGTTGTTTTTCCCATCCTTGCGATCTCATCCACTTGATCTGCAGATGCTCCATATGCAAGCATTCGCAAGGCAGCCGTAATTTTTTGCTCAGGAAGAAGACCTAGAACATGAAAAGCATCCTCTTTTTGCACAAAATATGGATCATGGTTGCAAACATCACTCATGATTTTAGCGAACAAACTTCGTTGCATTCTAAAACGACGTCTAAAAACATGATCAGGGTAAACGCTGTTGGGAATAAAATAATCTTCCAAGAGATCTTTACCTCGTCTTTCCCTTCTTCTATCGATGTTTGCCGCACGTCCGGGTTTGGCTATCTGACCCATAGCTTGCATGATACGGCGGGAATGTGAGGCCCTCCGCCTTCTATGGTGATCATCGTCATCCTCCTCCATTGCGAAGGCCTCATCTCCACCTCCACCTTGGTCAAGATTGACCAATTCTTCCTGTTGTGCCAACAACCTTTTCTGCTGCTCTTGCAACTGTTTATACGCTCTCCTTGAAGAAGACATTGTAAGAACTCAAGATTTGAAAATGATAAAGAAGAATTCTGAGCTAAAAAAATGGATTGAGTTTAGTGTGAGGATGGATGTAGGGATGTAGGGTTTATATGGACAAAAAAAAAGAAGATGAGGTTCTGGACAATGCCACGTGGCACTACGTGATTGGTTGAAAATCTTAGCGGAAATCTATTCAAAAAATAGTACGTTCGGATAATGACACGTGGCGTGACGAGATTGGTTAAAAATCTTATCGAAATCTTGCCTAAATTATTGTAAACAGGAAGTGACACGTGGGTTGTCGGGATTGGTTGAAAATCTTAGCGGAAATCTATTCAAAAAATAGTACGTTCGGATAATGACACGTGGCGTGACGAGATTGGTTAAAAATCATATCCGAAATTAAAACTATTTTTTTTTTTTATTTTATAAAAAAATTATTTAATATTTTAAATGGACTGGGCGCCAGCGCATTTTGTAGGGGTGGAGATCGTTTGTGCCAGCGCATTTTTAGACTAGGTGCCAGCACATTTTTTTTTGGGGTGGAGATGCTTTGGCCTATTACTGTTCATTGAGTCTGTTACTGTT